TTAATGCTCATTGGGAGGCAAGACTTGCGTGAGCGCAGTGTTTAACGTATGTTGAATTATCAACACAATTCCTTACCGGACGACAAGGACACAGCGGTAAACTTTACAACCAATTCACGTGCCATAAGCTGGATGGATTAAGTTATGCCATGACAAGCTGGGGAGTCTACTGAAAAATCAACCACAAGCGTTGACTCCGACGTCGATAACTGCTGCGCGAATCCCACAACCACAGAAAACGAGAGACTGGCAGCCTTCCGCTCGACTCCGTCAAACGCAACCTCTCCGACTGTGAACACAGTGGTCACTCATGACCCTGATATCCAAAGCCACAAAACCAATGGTAGTGTACTGAAAATTCCTACACACACTGAGTTGATCTGACTGATCGTGAGTGACCTGGAAGTTCACAAAAACACAAAAGAAAAAAGTCTACGACCGATTAAGTCACGTAAACCTCGCCCCGTTCAAAAGCCGCTGAAGAGATTCGATGCAGACCTGCGTTGTGGCCATCTAATGCATAAGTAATACAAGTGATAGTATTCGAAATTTTCAAACACGAGAGGGAAAACGTTGCCCTCCAGCAGCAACATGGTCGTGCAAACTGGACTCGCAAGAGACGACAAGCCTCCTGCAAGGGAACAGAAATTCTTGAAAACACCAAGACAGAAAGCAGAAAATTACGCCACCGAATCCTTCTGGAAGCCTTGGACTAAAATTCGGTGTACAGCTGTGAAATCTGCTAACCTCTCTGGGAGCTCGCTTCTCGGCGTCACGCCTTTGAGCGAAGCGGAGACAGTGTTGAAATCTCTACCCAAAAACGGCCTCAGTCTTTTCAGCAAACCTCGCGATATTAAACAGCCATTTTTGCTTAAACTGTCATCCATAATTGCACTCATTTGGACCTAGCGTGCACCAGGTGTCTCCGACACTGAGATCTTGATCGAGGGCTACTCTATTTTTTTAACAAACTTGAAACACGCGGGGGATGGTGGGTTGCTCTACATTTGCATGAGGCTCGGTCCATTCAAATTGTCTTTTTCGACACTACTCCTCAAACCCTGTGGATTAAAATCCTGCCGTGTGAGACGAATGCTCTTCTTTTCGGCCTGTTCTACCGTTGCGTCTCGAGTCCGCCGCATGATAATGAGTCCTCCATATTACCGCTTGAATAGACCTCATCTAGCTACCACTTCACACATCCATTGCTAGCAGGTGAGCTTAACGCTCCAACGACCTCCTGATTTGAACTTCAGCGCATTGTGTCTAGTGAATGCTTTGCATTGGCGCTGATCGAAGTCGTTCAACGGGTCGCTTGGTTTCAAGTTGTCATCACACCCACCAGATACCGCGCAGACTAAGAACCGACAGACACCTTGTTGACGAATTAGTAAATAATGCTTCAACGGGACATAGTGACCACTTTGTGCTAACGTTTGCAATCATCCTCTGCTGGGCCAGAAATCCTGGACCATAGACGCTGTTTCGGAACTTCTGCGGTGCAAACCACCCAGAAATGTGTAGCCTCCTTGAACAGTTTAAATTCGGACTAGCTTTGGTCGAAAAGATAAACAGGAATATTTTCCTGAAAATCTAAGGTGCTGACGCGGTTTTCATCCCTAAAAGCTACCTGAAAGGATTTGACGTCTCGTGGAAAGAAGGTTCGAACCATTTTTTTGAAAGATGACTACACGTGACACGTAGGGCAAGTTGGCGTTTTGTAAAACGCGGAGACACCGTAAATCATCCATCCGTCAATAAAACATACAAAATCAGGACCGTAAAAGACAAAAGACAAAAATTCAATTGCACGAGACCGCCAAATAAATGAGCCGGACACCTTTTCCTTGAGGGACTGAAACGCGGAACCCAGAAGTATAACGTAGTGGTATCTGAAGTCGATGGAGGACGCTACGCAGGCTTGTATTATGCCCTGGCGACCTCATCACATCAAACCTTGTCAAGACGCAACTGCGAGCGGTTTCGAATCAACGTCGTCTTTACTGAGTAGGCGATTCCTGAACTTTTGCGTAAGACCTACCCCTTCAGCGAGTAAGAGTCGGAGGAGCTCCATTCAAGGATCTTGAGGGAATTTTCTCTAACAATGATGAAGCATTTCTACCTGGTGTTTTGCTTCAGCCGCTCATGCTTCTCAGAAGAGGAAATTGTCACGCCAGTTTTAAAAAAATGGTTACTGACTGTTGTTCGGCAGCTACAGCACTATGAGACTCATGAGCGTATCATGAAAGCTAATGTAATGCATTATGAAGCGGACCTTCTAAAATCCACTAACCACCAACGACTCAATGTTTTCAGTGAAGCACAAGTTTAATACAAACCATTCGTGCGTGACATTCGTTCTTGTATTTACGAACAGCTTAGTCCAATCTGAAGATGGATGACTCATAACGAGTGCCGTGATTTTCGACATCTCCAAAGGATTCGATCCCGCACGTTTCGTTGCTCCACATATTCGAGTCGTACAGAAGTTAAGGGTAAATTTTACGCTTGATTGAGGCGTTCCAACCAGACAGGACATTTTCAGTGAAAGCAGGTACGACCTACTCTTCCTCGGCGCTGGTCTCCACTGAAATTTTCGGACCACTCCCTGTTTCTGCTTCGCGTCAACGACCTTCCGATGTCCCTTGGCGCTGGTCTCCACTGAAATTTTCGGACCACTCCCTGTTTCTGATCCGCGTCAACGACCTTCCAGATGTCCCTTCAAGTCGCTGTATACTTTTTGCAGACGAATGGAAATTCTGGAGTTCAAATGTCAATTTCCTCTAAAGGTGTGTAGAATCTACAAATCAGTAGTCGTTGAACACTCACCTCTCCATGAATCACGACACGCGCGTCCATGTGTCATTTGGAGGAGACTCAGCGAACGCCTTTGTCGTGCATGGTGAGAATATATCAGAAGAAATAAAGAGCTAGATAGCAGAAAATATTTGGGTTTCTGACTCCCTTCAAACATCCCTTTCTCACTGCACAGTGGAAACGTAGCACAAGATGCGATAAATTTTTAACGATTGATTCGGTTAGACTTCCCCCGCATCACTCGCCTGGATGTCCGGATACTTAACGGGGACAACGCCAGATCACTTCTTGAATACACCAACCAACTTGTCTACTCTGGACGAAACCAAAGAGCTGCTACAAATATGGTTGACGTCCTCAGATCCAATGCGCCTTGCGGTGCCTGGCCTATTCTCCTTGAGTATCGTCGCTTCGTGGCCTAATGCTTACTTACGCCTTGCTTGAACATAGTTGTCCGACAGGTCATTCACCGTTGACCCTACTAAAAACCGGCGGAAACATGGTAAGTAGATTTTTAAGCTGAGGCCGCACAGCCCTATTAGGCAACAGTTTTCCTCATTTCAGGTAGCTGGCACGTGGAACAACCTTCTCTTAATGGTTGTTCACATTGCATGTGCTACCCATTTCATAGAATTTTTTAGACCCTTTCACAGTTCGCTCCTTGTGCAGGCAACGTCACTGCTCCGAGCTGAGAAACTGAAGATCAGTGCTACAACTTTTTAACACTTGTGCCCATCAGGTGTGCAAAGCCGGCCGACGACAAGCACAAACCCAAACTGGGGGCTTGAGTGAAGGCCTCAGTCCTGTGTATCAAGCCCTGATCACGAGGAGTTCATAGTGATGTTTGGCTACTGATGCATCCAATTCTCCTGAACATAGTTCAATTTAAGCATTCTGTTCTTCAGTATGTGAAGCTACTCAAGACAATGGGCTATGACATCATCATAGCCGTCCCTGAAACGCCTAATTCACCAAATCGTACGCAAGCCTTAATAAACATAGGTTCACTTGACAACTTCTAGGGAACGTGCTGTACTGGTCTGGATACCCAATAAGTTACTTAACTAGGAGTGTGTGGCAAAGGAATAAAAAAATAATAAGGCTAGATTGAGTATACAATAATAAAGAAGTCAGACGGAACAGACTCACTAATAATTGTTCTCTTTGAAATAGTTCGCCTTTGACCCAGGTCAGCAAATAAACAATAATCTAAGCATGGTTGTCCAGGGGTCTTCTTCTGAACAGTTCCATACATGATATATTCCGAAGATAGTCTGAAATGTTTTGATGCCAGAGTTAGCACATGAGACTCGCGAATGACCGCTTAAACGCGAACAAAATCGGAAGGGAGAGTTGGAGCATGTGACCACGTTTGTATTGCGTGAAATGGTTCAAGCATGCCATTGCAGACCACAGTGGTGAGACTAAACTGATGGAAACCAGTATAAAGACTCTTAATCCCGCGTAAACTAGGACAACTGTATGGTTCTCTGCTGCGTGAATTAGTGCACGGTGAACGACAGCCGCTAAATGACAAGAACAAACCCGACCAGAAAAACTTGGGCAAAAGCATCGCTCCTGTGTAACAACCCGTGAACGATGGAAAGTTTGATGATCTTCCCAGAAGAAGTATAATCGATAGGAATGAGACTTAATGTGTGGTCGTGCCGGTTCCTCCTCTTATACAACGTACTTCTAGAAGGAAGGATGTCCATTGCTGGAAGGTCAGAGTGAGTGTAGGATAAAGCATAGATGTAAAAGAGTGGGCTTTTACGCGGACCGGGTGTTTATCGTAAGGATTTGGGCCCATGTGATTTCAGCCTCATTCAGGATTTGTCAGATGGACAGAGGTGGAATCCGCTACATTGCTTTTCAGTAAGCTCTTATAAGGTTTTGGCCGCAGACTCATATGTATGCAAACAATGCTTTAGCACATGATGGTTCAAACTGAAGTTTGCAACTGTTGTCATGTACAGATGAATGGCATATCAACAACACCCGGCAGAACATAACCGACCATAAAAACGGGTCTAAAGAGACGTTCTGGTGATAGACTTTTATTTAAGGTCATGAAATAAGGGGTCCAGCATGCAGGACGTGTCATGCGAATTATTGTAATAGGTTTAATTTTGATGTGAAAACTAGCCGTCGTTAAGCGCTGTGACCTAGGCAGACTACTTTATTCACGAGACTGGTGTGTGGCGAGCCAAACGTTCATTTCCGACCGTTCCGGCCTGATCTGGGCGGTGTCCAACCAACCCATTGGCCGTGGTCAACAGATTGATGGGAGCCGAACCATCGGTAATCAGGGTACTACGCAGTCCCAAGGCTTGTAACATCTGAACATCGTGTTTTGCTCCGGCATTGGCCATCAGATCCAAAGTGCCTGGACCCAGTGCTCGTACCATTCTGGCAAAACGAGATGTTTCCAGCTTGGCTTTAGCACGAAGTTGCTCCAGTTCCAGACTGATTTTCGATGCCAGGTGTGAGAGCTCTAGCTGACGGGTTTTCTCCAAGCGTTCCAACTCGGCTTCCTGATTGAATTAGAGTAAATAAATTTGAATCAGCAAATCCTGTGCTACTGTTTTTCCTGTGCAGAATGTTGAGGGTTGTCAGCGCTCTTTGTTACTCGTTTGTGGTACAAAACCTCCCTTATTTTTTTTTACAAAGACAGCCTTCCAGAATTTTCGGCAGAAATTCGCACAAAGCTAACAGAGAGCGTGATTTGGTCTATGAATAAGTATCGTTAGTTTAGGATTTTCCAGCTGCATCTGCCTACATTTGGTCACAAAATATGGACTGATTTTCGATGCCAGGTGTGAGAGCTCTAGCTGACGGGTTTTCTCCAAGCGTTCCAACTCGGCTTCCTGATTGAATTAGAGTAAATAAATTTGAATCAGCAAATCCTGTGCTACTGTTTTTCCTGTGCAGAATGTTGAGGGTTGTCAGCGCTCTTCGTTACTCGTTTGTGGTACAAAACCTCCCTTATTTTTTTTTACAAAGACAGCCTTCCAGAATTTTCGGCAGAAATTCGCACAAAGCTAACAGAGAGCGTGATTTGGTCTATGAATAAGTATCGTTAGTTTAGGATTTTCCAGCTGCATCTGCCTACATTTGGTCACAAAATATGGACGTTCCTGATTAATACATACGTAAGCGGAATATTTTACTTCGGGAGCACTCGAACATGCACCTACTCATAAGTTTGACTGCTTTAGATATGAGCGTAAAGCAAATAAAAACTTATATACACACAACCCACACCAAAGTAGAGTGATCTCACATAACGTTTCCGCATGCACTACTCAGCAACATGGTTACCGAAGAGGAAGCGTAGCTATGAACACTACACCGTACATAACGTGATAAAAACGCATGCAAGAATTTTGCTCGCCTCCACCCCAACTCATGGATTACTCGAGCAGTTCTTCTAGGGTCATTCCAAGTCTTGTAGCGAGCATAGGATTGGGAGATTATGCTTGACAGTATTGAGTGTACTAGTTTCTCAGCAAACGGGTATTCTGTCTCAATAGATCAGACAGACAACGTTTCAACCAGTTGACCCAGAATGTTTCTTTGACGACTCAACCAGATCCTGAGATACATTTGTGATCAAAGTCGAACCAATAAAACAGTATAAGTTTTTGGAGCATATTATTACAATGGGTGAGCTTGACACGACTGTTTGAGCCGAGAAAACAAGCCGAGTTTGCCCCAACTGGATACATTTTTCTTATTTTGTAAGAGGCCCATTAAGAAACTAAACCTTACAAAGTTATGCTGGTATGTGTGACTTTGTGAGTCATTTTGAGGCGAGCCTGTCACTCCAGACAAGCTGGAGAGTATACTTCTGAAGAACCCTCCGAGTTTGGTTAAGATCGTGTGTGGTGGTCCCTCAGATGTTCAAACACTTTGGTAACCTGACGCCAACCACTACTTTCATGTGATTGTGCTTGCTCGCTTGTCAGTACGTGTTTAGTTCTCCTTCAGCATGCCAGCCCAAATATAACCACATGCTATGCGATTACTCGCAAAGTTTTGGCAAATCAGCCGTCGCCTGGTGCGCTGCTCTGGACCAGCGTAATACCGATGAAATTATAAGATTTTATTTCGACTGCCTTCACAACCTATTCACTTATCATTCTGCTGTAGGTCGCATCAAAGAATAAATCATCTTGCGTTCAAAGATGTCACCAATTGCATGCCACTGACCAGATTGGCTGCCTGATTTGTGCTCTTCCAACTTTCCTGCCTCGAATTTATCGCTACCATTATCGAGTTAACTCTTGAGTAGGTCGGCTTGCAAACTAGAGTTATCTCCAAAGCCTGCGGCAGCCTTTTTTCGAGACTATCATTAACATATTTCGGTGAGTCAATCGCCTGCTGCAGAAACGTATGCAAGCATTGGTTTGACATCCAGCTTTCGAGCGTAAACGTTCACGTATGCTTGGACTGGCATGTTTGGTTGTCTTTGTGTAGTTTGTTTGTCAACCACCATGAAAACATTCACTATAAAATATTGTACTATGTAGCCTTATGTTCAGCAAATGCACCGGACAGCTTCAGTCCTGATCACGCAAAGTACAAATTTCACAACGCTTCAGTATCTCTTCCATCCAATGAGGTGAGTGTAGATAATGCACTAGTTATCGGAAGCTTCAGTAAAAAGTAAAACGCCGCGGCTCATGGAGTGCCCGTCACTATTCAACAGTCAAGATACAGTGGACACCGCTGCACTTACTGGCCACTTCTGACACTAGACACCAATAACGAGGCCGTATTATTGAATGCCGGTGTTCTTGAAGTTCTCGTAGGGGTCAGAAATAGAAACTTATCCAAAGTAAATTCTCGATAGTCATCTGGAGGAACCTAAGGATTAAACTGCCCGTTTGGCCATCGCACAACTGTCTGGCCCACAAGCTAAGGACGTTTAAAAAGGAAGTCCTCATAAAAATGTGGAAGCTGCATTTTTGGAAGGTATCAATGCTGAATGTCAAGAATCAGCCCGATGGAAAGTGTGTAGGCAAACTCCTCTGTCCTGTGTATTATTTATGGCTAGAAAGAAGTTAGCACCGCGGTGCACGCGAGTGCTTGCATTTTTGGAATCCATTGAATAACCACCGCATTTCAGAGCACCCACTCTTTCGCCTAAATCCCAAGCGCTTCATCATTTTGGACGTTCAACATAATTTGGCCAAATATTTAAGGCGTCGGATCAAGCATAATCTGAATACGCACCGAGAGCTCTAGTTAGAACAAAAACCTCTGGATATCAAGAAATTCAGCTTAGGTGGGATTGGTCCAAATCCATTTCAGTTTAAAAAGTTGTTTTAAGAGACTGGCTATCGGTGTGGTAGTGAAACGCAAGGGAATTGCCAACAAACTACAAGAATTGGTAGGTCAGTTGACAAGCGGAAAATTTTCAACAACAGTTCAGTTTTCCATTTTTCTCCATAGCTATGTCCTTCAGTCGGTTATTTCAAACCTGGTCGTCATCCCTGATTTTTTCCATCTATTTTTCGGTGTTTTCCAGCTTTCAAACACCGTTGGACACAGAAATTCCATGAGTTTAAACCAGTGTTATTCAAAGAGTAGATGATTTCTGAATCAAGCAGACTGTTTAGATTAGTTTTGAAAAAAACGCTTTCACGGGAGCTCAGCTCAGACAAAAGTTGCCTCCGGCTTTATCAACCTTCTCGTTATTTCATCAAGTGATCCAACGATTGGACGGGAAGTCCAAGGCTAGTGGGATTTAGACTAGATCGGGAACGCACCGGCCACATCCTTACATAAAACAAGGTCCTTGGGCGTGAAAAACATCACGCTCACCGACATCGAACGATCGTGGTCTCTTAACTTCCCATGAACCAACGTCTCCATTGATGAATTATGTGTTCCACATATATGTGGACAAAAGCTATTGAGTTTTGAACTTTCCAAAAGCTTCTGTTGTTTTGGAATGAAATGCTTGCATTTTCTCCATATCTAGTAGAGTTTGCAAGCAATGTCTTGTTCCAATGGTTTAGTCCAATTCTGCTATTTTAATGGCAAGTCATTTTAAAATTCTGGTGTCTGAGTTAGACACGATGTTGTTTTGGCCCAACTTAAGGTTCTCTCCAAATATAAGCGCTTTTCGTGCACATATATGCTTTACCATAGATATGTTTGAAATACTGGCAGGCGTTTATGCACTTTTTAGTTCAGCATGGCTGGACATGCTTTGTTGGCGACCGACCATCTTTCAACTCAGATAAACGGCCGTGCCAGCCCCGGACTAAGTCTGAAATTCCAGCATTGTGGAACAGTCAGTGTAATTGGTCATCATAGCGGTTATGGTATTTGATCACGAGTTTTTAAGTTGTAAACCTCGCAAACAGTCCAATGTTCTGTTGGTCGGTTATTCTCAGTTCTTTCGCGGAAATCAGCAAAACTATTTGAGTACATTTTCAAGTTTTCGGATATTTCTTATTGCAGCATCAATATAAGACGTCTTGACATCAATATGTGCCTCAGATTTTGACTTGTGACCCTTTGAATTATTTGAGCAAATGCATTCCACGGTATTTCTGACCGACTGGTTATAGAATGGCGTCATAATAAGATACATGGACTCGGTTCTGAATTCACTGGTGCTAGGGTCAGCTGTTCCAGTCAGGGACTACGATCCGTCAAATTAGCAGAATTTTCGATCGTCCTTTATAGAGAGAATATTCGTCAACGATTGTTCCGCAGCTGAGACCAGGTTTCATGCCCCGAGACATTGCAAATAGGACGACGAAGCTCCATCTCGTTTTGACTGTTTCATTGCTGTCCGTGTTAGGCATGATGGAAGATACTGCCAACATTTACGATCAAAAAGGGCTGTAGCGGCACGTGCTGGTTAGGGTAGGCAAGCGTTTACAAGTGTTGCAAGAAATGCAAGAACCTTCTGAGGTTTCCAAGTTCCAAAAAATGTTACATCAAGCTCTTTTCTTGCGTGGTTTTCCTACAGTCTCGAGCTAGTCGACAACGCCGACCAAGTATTTGATGCATCTCTTGTGAGCGAAATTACTGCTCCGTTTGGACCTATGACCAAGCTGATCGAATGATTTACGACTGTTGCTACTGTCATGAATGATTTACAGGTAAGATGGTTTCGACCCGGGTTAGATTTGTGTGGCGCATCAATACAGTATATGTACTTCACGCCACCAGATGTCAAATTTAAGCTCCAACCTACAACCACGAACAACACGGTTTTTGAAACATATTTCAGGTTGGTTTCTAATACCCGTTTTCGACTCGAGCGACACCAAGACGATAATGTCATTGCGACCCGTTTAGAAAACGATCTAACTCTGATACATCCAGCCGATGCCCATTTTTTACCATCACCTCTGTGTACAACGTGACTGACGAGACGATACTTTGCATGTGGCCCGTGTTTGCGTTTCACAAAGCATTTAAATAACTTTAAAAAAGAGTGCAAACTTATTTTTAAGACAAAAAAGTACTTAAAAACGGTCTTTAGTGTAGTCTGGCTTACATACACACCATCTCCTAGTAGGAATGATTACGTATCACATCCTGTAAGGTTTGTGGAGCTTTTTGACTTATTACCTTCTACTTTGATTGGCACAGTTAAATAAACTTTCATTTAGAAAATGGGATGGATTCTCCTGTTATTGAGTTTTTTGTACTGTAAATATGAATAAAGTTGGGAGATATTGGTTATTTTGCAGACTGCCTGATTTTCCCATTATCTAACGACTTTCATACAACGTTTGCGCGTCTTACTTAACAGGCTACGAAAAGCAGTCCATCTATAACTTGCAGGGTAGTGACTGTACCCAAGTACTAACTCAGAAGCTTAGGCATTTTGAACACTGGGGATGTGTGTACCGCGTTCCAGGCTCTCAAGATACACACCAAGGAACTGAGGCATTCTTTGACATCGGTTCTGATTCTAGACCAGTGGCCGGATGATAGCGAGTCACTGATCCAGGTGGCTAAAAATTTTGATAAAGACTAATGTGCTGTCAAGATATTGGTGACACAACCACTGCTCAAATTACTTCACAAAGTTCATTGCCTAGTGTCCTGTGAGAATAGAGGCTGGTGTCGGACCCAATGGGCTTCCAACTGCTAAACTGGTAAAAGGTGTTAAAGTACGGCCCCTGCAGGGAAATTCCGACCCACCATATTTCAGGTATACGTCACAGGTTTACTAGATCCTCGAGTGAATAATTATCAGCGAAAAGACAACTGGGACCTGTGGGATTTTTTTGACCTTTTTACTGAAATTACTGAAGAGAGTTGTGTGCAAAAAATTCCACTTTGAAAAATCTTTATTGAGAGACACTTCTGAAGTGCATTAAAAAGTTTTAGTAGCCTTTAGATAGTGTAGTTAATTTACCTCTACCAGAACGCGCTTTCTTAGCTTGCAGTCGTGTTTTTTGTACTCGGGCTTGGTCACCATGTTAACTTTTGCCTCACTGCACTCATTCTGGCCACCAGCACCTAACTTCAAAGCTGGAAGGCTAGATTGGTTTCACTACTGCTTTTCATTTTTCTAACCAAACGGCAACTCACCAATTCTATCCGCTTCTGTTCAACTGCTACTATGGATTCCTCTACTGCAACCATGTTTTCGATGCGCAAGGCTTCCGCCTGTCCCAAAGCAGCCGCTCGTGCTTCTCCGGTATTTTCCAGACCAGCTGAAGCAAGCTGAATTTCCAGCAGTTTGCTTTTGCTCTTTGCCACTTCTGTCTCGTCCAAAATTTTTTGACGGTCTAAGCGACCCCGAGCTTCTTGTTCTAATTTGGCAGCCTCGTGCCTGATGTTACGTAAAAGATAGAGATTATTAGCGTTGTTATTAAAAGTACCTTGTGCAAGGTTTTCTCGAGTAACTTCCACAGAGATGTGTGAATGATCACTGTCATAAACTATGAATGCATTATTTGTTTAACAGGTTAATTTACTGTGACAATGAAGGCTGAATGGAAACTTTACTCAAAAAGTGGAAAATGTCCTAAAACTTGCCTGGCTGCAGCCTCTTGAGATTCCGTTGTAATCTCGATAGCCATTTGGACAGACTTCCATAAAAGATCGCGTGTACGCTCATCTGTTGGCGCAACGGATTGAATGTCAACTCCTGTAATGACCAAACGGTTTTCTGGAAAAACGTACGAATCCCGCACCTTGCCTTCTTTTGTAAGTCCAAGACAAGCGGCACGAATAATTCGCGCAGAGTTCTGTTGACCGAAGAATGGTAGTGTTTGAAATGCCATTAAACTAGGTGCCTCGTACGAGCACTAGTTATCGGTCGGACACAAGGGTGAACACTGTTCAAAAGGATCTTTTGGGGTCTTCTGTGGTCCGCCACACTATGAGACTTCGTATAATAATGAAAAATGGTGTTCCTCTTACAGTCTTTCTACATTTGGGATGGTAGCTTTAAGTCCTTGAAGGTTAAACGGGTAATGACAGAGATATCTAGTGCTTTACACAACAGCCCTAAAAATATGGCAGGTTCACCAAGCAGATAAATATTCAAAACAAAAACGGGTTATTATTAAAGCCTCTCCGAGAAGCATGTTGTTTGTAGACTAAAAATCGACTAAAATTCCACAAAACTGGGTGAAAAATGATGTCGGTTATGAATAAACACTCTCTTCCTACGCATAAAATTACAAGACATCCAGAAATCCCTTTTTTGGGTAGTATGCTTAGTCTTGACATTTCTGAGATTAGGGAAACCAACTGTGCAACATCATCAAAATTGCGTGCAAAAACATGTTCAACCAGGATGTCAGCATAACAGAGAGGTCATAAGCTACTCACCAAAAAGAGTGCATTACAGTCGTTTGTAGCGAAAACTACACCCTAAGGAGATATTATCCTTCGATAAAGACTAATTATATCAGATCCACTGAGGTACACGTTATCAGGAAACTTTCGCCATAGAGGACCACTTCCTACAGGCACGTTTTCTATTGGTCACTTTACAGGTGAAAAAACGGCAAATATACGGTTTTCATTAATCACCATGTAGAAGATTTATTTGTTATAATTTACTGATTGTATACGGTAATTTTTTGCCATCTTGTTCCTGAATATGTTACGAGTCTTGCCTAGCCGACGGTATTGAAACATCTGGGAGTACTTTGCTTTAGATAACATCTTTTGCGTTTACAGCAGATTACTTCAAATCAATGTATCTGATCACAGTTCACTTTTTTCCACGAGCCGGGATATGATTTCTCAACTATGACAAAAACTCCAATGCACTTTGGCATGGAAAAGGCGTAGTTATGTAACTATTGATCTAACTATAAGTCAACTATTTATCACTCTAACTAGCAATCTATCAAGCTAACTATAAGTATCGTTCAACTAAGAAACTGTCATGCACCGTGTTCGAAAAGCTTATACAAAAGACCGTTGTCATGTTCTTCCAATGCGTCAACGAAGTAATGCTAGTTGGTAGCACGGACTATTTCATGAGGCCTTTTCAAATGGGAATAATGTGAAAACAAAAAAAATTATAAAAACTGTTGCTCAAAATCTGACAATCACGTCCACCATGCAAACCAAAGTGTAGCGCTACAGCTGGTGGATTCTTGAGTTATTATTCTCGTTTTTTATGTTGCTCACTAGGAATGATGTAAAAGCATTTAAATGGTCAAGCAAAATTGAAATACTCAAGCCCAATAATTTATAGGATCAGCGTGACTAAAAATGTATAAGGCGAAATGCGACTATCAATAGATTACGTAAACGAATCCCTATTCTGTGAATTCTGTTTGACCCAAAGTTAGCTTTTTCTTTAAAGTTTCAGTCAGACTGGTGATCTTGTATCCAACGTATAAATGTTAGCCACGATCTGTTCTTGCATAGTTTTGCAATCATGTAGGGATCACAGTAGTAATTAACTGGTATTTTCCTGTTGTGCGTTTTGTTGATAAATAAACTGAAAAAAATCAGAAAAGCAAAATCAGACAGGTCTCACAACAAAGCACCTTCCTTTGATTATTACAAATTACAGAAAGCAGTATGCAAGTACGCAGTCAGGCTTACTTTGTGGAATGTGTCGAAGCATACGGTAGCTACGGCTCCACGAATGCGTGATGCCATTGCTTTGCAACTGTCACCAACAAAATCTGAAACCGAAAACAGTTTGTCGGCCTCCTCTGGATCCGTCAGCGCGTCAGATGTGTCAAAAGACCAATTATAGGACAACTGCAAGGATAGTCTGGCATGATCAGCTGTCTCTACCACGACAGAATCAGTGAAGAAGTCTGGACCGAGTAGAAGGAAGAGGGACTTGATTGCATGTGGTCTCTTTGGTTTCCCGGCGCTGAGGCTGAGCAAAGTAAACTGCTCGTGTGGACCTAGAATTACCAGAGTTGGTCCAAATTCAACACGTGATATGTTGGATTTGTAATCGTTGATTTGTACGCCAGCATTGTGAGGAACCTGCAATGATATAACTGGAAATGGTTTGGGCTCGTCGGGTATGGTAAATCGCGGTGCAGGTGGTTGATCATATGAGAGGTCGTATGTGTCTTCACTCAGCAGTCTACAACGCATATCCCCGCTGGATGCCACACGCCGACTATATGCAAACATAGGTGCTCTGGTATCACGCAACTCTTGAAATCGAGACCAATTCAGTGTGGGCACTTTGTCGCTTTCAAGCAGTTCCCTGACTTTTGGGGGAATTTGCTTCTCCCAGTGTTCTTCATACTCGGTTAGCATGTATGTTGTCCCAACGACAGCTCGAACTTCGCCTGTTTGAGTGTTTCGCACATAAATGCCCTCCGACTCACCCAAAGGAATTGCTGTGCGTTTCTCAACGACATCCACTCCAATGGGCGGAATGTACTCGCATGGCCCACGAATAAGCCAGCGGTCACCCGGTTGATGTTTCTGGAATGACAGTTTGTTGTAAAATATGCCTGTTGGTATAGACGGATCAAACTAAAAAAAATCTAGATAATCGGTGATTAGAGTGCGAATTCACTGATTAAAAAACCCATGATTCGAACTCAACCCCTGCCTTTCGACTTCTCCTGTCTAGGCTTGGGAACATGACACTCTCCAAACCCTCGTAATTCCTTCGAGTCGTATGTCAGCTGGGTACGAAAGGCTGTAACAGCTGAACGATCATTATTTATTTTGATTACATGAGCTTGTTTCTGAACGTGCACATCTTGGTAGATCAGAGGAGGCGACTCTATGGTATACAGCTACTTAATATATGCCTCATATAATTTGATATATTGACTCTTAAGTGCAACATGGTCCCCAATAGATGTAAATCATGGTTTATTGTGAGTGGATGAAGTTGGAGTTCTTGAATAAAACGTCTCCATTTAAGTGAAATCGACTTGTGTTGAAGTACACAAAAGTACTGTACAGCGGTTTTATACACGTTGAAAATCACCAGCAGTGCTTGACTCCTCATAAGTTGTTTGGACACAGGTGATGAGCTCCAAATTAGGTTAAAAGTTGCATAGAACTTCCTGCTTCTTCACCATGGCCGATATCAGTTGCACACTATCCCGTTTTATTCCCAAGACTCCATCGGATTTGTTAGTTGAATATCTCTGTGTATGTATGTAGAAAGAATCAGACTTACGATTTGTACTTATGGGCAGGTTTCTTATCTGTGAGATTGAGAACCTGATGACCGTTGGTTACTTACAAGTGCCGCTGACCCGTATTCTTGAGACGACCATTTCACTATACCGGCAGTGATTAGATTCTTTAGTGCCAATGAATTCCTGACAATGGATGTCTGATAGAAAGCTGCTAGCTGTAAGTGTGCTTACTGTGCGTTGAAAGTTTCCATCCTTCAAAGAATCCACCTGTTCAACGTCTTCCGTAGCTACCAAAACAAGCCCATCGTTTTCTCCAAGCGTGAACGCTTGCTCGATACCCGTTTCCAGTTCTTCTCCCGGCATCAGAAAAAAAGAACTTTCTCCTCGAACTAGGTGTTTCTTACCCCACTGAGGATGCCCGTCGACGTCCACCGGATTTACGATTATACAGTACTCTTTACTGCTTAGGGTGATGGTTTCCGTGACGCGTACCAGCTCCTGCGTAACATCACATATGTAACTATCTGCATCGTGATAGGTCACCAGCCATTCGTCTCCGCAGTTTCTCTGACGCCCAAACTGATCCCTGTGAGGCTGAATAGCACGGACACTGACGGCCCGCTGAAAAATACAAATGACGTGTGAACAGGTCATTAGCTCGTTGGGAGCAATATTCACCTAATCGAGTAAAACCATAGGATATCGTAATTGTCGAAAAAGGCTGGTCGAAAACTGCAATTACCTTCGAACACCCGCCAAAAGTTTACCAATTAGGTAAATAAACATGTACGCAACTGTCGCCCTGACCAACCATTATTCAATAAATCAATCAAACAACCAATCAATCAATAAAACAATAATCAACCAGTCAATCAGCCAATCAATCAATCCATTGATCAATCAGACAATCGGTCAAACAATCAATCAGTCAATCGGTTAATCAATCGATCACGTTCACCTATCTATCTACATCTATCTATCTGTCCATCTGTCTATCTATCTATCTATCTATCTATCTATCTATCTATCTATCTATCTATCTATCTATCTATCTATCTATCTATCTATCTATCTATCTATCTATCTATCTATCTATCTATCTATCTATCTATCTATCTATCTATCTATCTATCTATCTATCTATCTATCTATCTATCTATCTATCTATCTATCTATCTATCTATCTATCTATCTATCTATCTATCTATCTATCTATCTATCTATCTATCTATCTATCTATCTATCTATCTATCTATCTATCTATCTATCTATCTATCTATCTATCTATCTATCTATCTATCTATCTATCTATCTATCTATCTATCTATCTATCTATCTATCTATCTATCTATCTATCTATCTATCTATCTATCTATCTATCTATCTATCTATCTATCTATCTATCTATCTATCTATCTATCTATCTATCTATCTATCTATCTATCTATCTATCTATCTATCTATCTATCTATCTATCTATCTATCTATCTATCTATCTATCTATCTATCTATCTATCTATCTATCTATCTATCTATCAATCTATCTATCTATGTATCTATGTATCTATCCGCCCTTCCAGCTACTCAGTTACCTATCCGTCTGTCTGTGTTTATGGCCGTCCTTCTATCTACCTTTATGTGCATCCTTCTTTTTATTCTCCCACCATCCTTCTCTTCGTCCGTCTTTCTCTACTTGTCCACCACTATTTTTGCCTCGTCTTGTTTGCTACTGATTTACCGGAAATTCCTCTTTTCTTTTCCTCATTTTTCCCACCTCTGGAACATACCTTCTCATTGAGCTTCTCGGCTATCACAGTGTCCACGTATTCCTCATACACGGTGGGTAGATAGACGCCTGTCGTCCTCACCAGCCACTCCTCTCCACTGAAACGCCTTGTCCCGCGTCGATCCACGCAGTCACATGTGGCCCGGAATCTCAACGCTTCGTTCAGCCTGATCGCTTTTGCCGTTACTTCACCAAGGACCTCGGCTTGTACGCAAGGATAGTATACGCCTTTGGAAGAAGGAAACCAGCGGGTTCACCACAAAATATAAGGTAACTGAATAAATTAAGCAAAGGATCTGTAATGACGTGTCCATCTGAAGCGGAAAAGTAGCCCAACCATGGGATTTGAGATGTCCCATACCACATTGAACTGGTGAGTGGCATGTTCTTCAAGTTGGGTTCAAATAACATTTAGAAGATTACTGCTGCAAATTTAAAAGTGAAATTTCCTTCAACTTCTTTCGAGATCAGAGCCTTTTCAACTAAACCCATCTGCACCTGACATCGGAACTCTAACCGTTTCTGTTTTCCTCAAAACGGATTTGTTTTTAAAGGACATAATCGTTTCTTACGAAATTATGGCAGTCAACAAAGTGCAACGGAAAAAACGGAGAGGTAAGGGATATAGTGTGAAAATGATTGTTGTACCATTTCCAACATGCTTTTAACTCCTGGCAACCACTCAATGGTAGGAAAACTATCAAGCGATGGACTCTGGCGAGTCCCAATTCTTGAGAATGGGTCTTAACTCGGATTTTCATCAGAGTGCATTAGTTAAGTAAGAAATAAAAAAAGTAGGGAACATTTAAGGATTTCAACATGAACAGCCGTTACATTTTCCCGTTTTGATGGCTTGCTAAGTCTCACACATTTTTCCTGCTCTAATTATTCCATTATTATAAAACCTGAGGTGATCGTCTTGATTTTTCTTAGGTTAGTGGAATGCAAAAACTGTGGTCATGTTAAAAAGATAATAATATAAAGCCTTGAAATTTATAAAATTCCCTTTTTAGCTCATGGATCCATACCTAGAAGAATAAGTAACCTGTCAACCATAGGTTTGCCTAGGAATACAAAATTTCACGTCGCGTTACAGCACAAAACCTTCGGTAGATTAAGGGAAATTATGCTCCAACAATTTTATTTTATCTTGCAATCCCTCCACTCAGTTTTACCTGAAATATTTTTCCAAAATAGAATACTAAACTTATTTTAAAGAAAAAGAAAACCAGACCCTTAAGTACGCCATGACTCTTTCCACAGGTTCCTCCAGAGTCTTGTTCAGGAAGCGAGCCCATTTCCGTAAGAAAACACAAGGCGATTTAAAACACTAGGAACAGATACAGTTGTTCAATTGCTAATTTTCTTTCAGATTTCACCCTTTTCAGTAGGCATTTCTTCATTCTTCACTTCGTGCCTTTGCATTATACGGCTTTATTCCAGCCTCTGTTTCTAATTCTGCTTCTTCATCATTCATCCACTATGCCTATTTACCTTTTTAATTTTTGGTTTCGCCTATGCAGGTGTTCGGACAAAGTGGGACAGTGAATAAAAGGTATACAAGATCACAGCGCTAACAGGTAGAAAAAGGACATGGAAGTATGTATCAGGCAGAGATTTGTTCTTTCCACCCTTTACTCTTCTTTCCTTCTTGCCTCTTTTTTCCTTGCTCTATTTTCTTTTGGTCGCGTGCTATCCGGTAACAGGGGAGAACAGCTAGGGAACTGGGGAACGAAAGAGCTTGTTGAGACCTCCTTTAGTCAAGCATGCATCCAGTCGGACGAACACTAAATGGAATCTGGCATCATCCCATATTTTCATGTTCTACCATGTCCAACACCAGGGGCAAGAAATCCACTTAGATTGTTAAGTTTGAAAAATGCAGTTTGGAAAAACAAAGAGCCAGAATTGCCGAGAAACAGCTCCCCAGGCGTATGAATGGGTGTTGCCAGTAGTGTTATTCGGGGATGAGCGTCTCCTAGCACACAGTATTAAGCAGTTAGCACAACTAAGTCAAATCTTTGGTATTTCAAAATCTCTCATGTTCATCCGCGTGGTTCACAAAGGTTGTTATTCTGTATGGGCATGATATTTGTTCATGGCATGTACGGAAATTGGAATCTGATAAAAAACGGACAAAAGACAGAAGACAATGTTTCTGCAGTGTGTGTTTGTTGATGGAGTAATTAACACATGTGGTCTGAGGATGGAAGAGTGTCCGTCTGAGTATATCATTAGTTACCGCGCCATATGTTTCCCTACTGCTCCCCATATTGGCCCACATCAGTGCAAACATTTGCTTCCTAATTAATGCGTTGTTTCGATAATCAGTTTTACCTAGTATCCCAAGCAGTATGTTTGGGATACAAACAGCTCCTAGATTTCCCACGGCAGACTAGTTCTGAACTTTGGTAGTTGCCTCATTACACTTATTTCAGGCTTATCAGTCTCCTTCCGCTATTCTAAGTACTCAGAAGAGAAACTAATAGGTTTTTCAATGTAGAAGACAGACCTGAGCCCTATGTGTCTTAAACAATATAGATTATTGATTGAACGTTTCAGTAGAATATGCAACCCGGTCGAGACAGCTGGACGATGTCTTCTTGAAGGGAAAAAACTTGCTTTGCGATTTGCACAGCATCCAAGGGCACCTGTAGGAACACCTCCACAACACACTAGTAACTCTTGAAGATCGATTAAGACAGCATGGTCAGTAGTCACGGGAGCAAAGTTTAACGGTGCCTGTCGAAATTCTGGTCGAAACCGGGACTATTAGCTTTGGGCACTTTTTCCAAAATTTACTACATAGTGAAAAAGTGGTGTGTGCATCACTTTGAAGACAAGGGCTACGAAGAGTCTGTATAAAATAAGGTAGTTTCTCTTTGTAATGTATTACTCATAAGGTTGCTGAAAACCCATGACAGCCCACTTTGAAGACAAGGGCTACGAAGAGTCTGTATAAAATAAGGTAGTTTCTCTTTGTAATGTACTACTCATAAGGTTGCTGAAAACCCATCGACAGCCCACGACCTGTTTTGCCCTTCTTGGGGCTCATCAGGTAGGCGCGGTCCCCGGGTTTCTGTCAACCTAAAACACGAGGCGGCCTGGTGCAGCACATTCAGTTGCCTGAAAACATCATTAGCGAGAGATTCAGCTGGGTTCCAGGTGAGTCTCTTGAAAGAACCAATTTGGTTTGCAGATGAGTGTATATTCACTAAGGTAGTTTCTCATTATCATTCAACAGAACTAGGAGTCTTTAGAACCCGTCGACATTCATCGCTGAATCCAGTCTGTGTTGTTTTGCGAAAGCGACAGAACAACGCTGCATCTCCGTAGAAATATAAAATCGGTGGCCTAATAAATATACTCTTGATTCAAGTGGGTCCATCGCGTGGCGAAATCCAAAAGACAGTAAGCTGTGTGAAAACGGGCTGATATGCCACACTTCACGTGACACATCACTTCATTTGCAGTTTATTTGGGATGGAAGGTTATCCAGTAACTTTATTGCACCTCCCATATAGTTTGGTTTTTTCACAGAATTATTTCCACCAAATGTTCCACAACTCAATTAGCCCTACGAGATCTACTACCGTGCTCTCTGGCAGGCTTGTACCCAGGATTAACCTGATGATATCGGTTCGTTAAAGAATACTTGATGTTCCATTTGGGTCAGATTGTTCCCTTCGTAGTGCTGTCAGTCATAACTTTGGGTAAACGCCTTTACCTAACACTCAACAGGGCGCAGCCATCATTCCATACTTGTCACAGAGTTCCTTAGTCCTGCTGTTTATGAGTGTATACTACCGTCGGTTTCAACAATTATAGTTTGTCCGCCATTGATATTTGATGAATTGAACATTTGGATTCACTGCTGCAACGAATATGACGATCTGAATAGCCTTAATATACACTTGTGTGGAGCGTTGTCTCATTAGGCCTTTCCTAACACTGGACAACCACACAGGGAGCATAGGGTTACAACGACTCAAGGTTGGTATTCATACAGCGTATGTACCTCTGACGACGATGCTTTGTGATAAAATAACCGTCGACGTATTACAACTACGTAAATTGCCTAGATGACCATTAGTGGTTTTCTGTGGTTTTCTGTAGGCGAAATTCTTGGGGTGTATGTAACGTATGTTCGTTTTTACTCCAAGCATAAAAGACAACTTACGGAACGGCCTACTCAGCGAGTTGCGTATAGTGAAAGTTCAAGGTCTGTCTACGCCATGCGTAGGACTGTGCAATGTTTGTTATGCAAAGCAACCGCCTCGGTGCCCAAAGAACTCAATGGTTAGACGTGTTTACAGCTTAATTCAGAGGTTCCCAAAGGTTTTTGCCTGGATCACCAAGCTGCATAATCTCACAAGTAACTATCAGGCCCGTTGTTACCAGTAAATTGTTACATTACTTTCTTGTTGATCCTGCGTAGAAGTAATTTTCGAATGAGTGATAGATTTTGGTGGTAAATTTTGGTGTTGTTATTACGTATTATAACCCAATATTGTATTTTGTCCAGCTTGAACGGCCTTTTTTTGTAGTTCACCCGTTGTCTGATTAAAGTACAAACATAGTATAGAAAAATTCATTGCAGAAAGTTTGGTCTTTTCAATCACGTCCACATTACAACTGCTGTGCAGTCTAGATTTCCAGCTATTCTATTTGCAATAAAAGTGGCTAGGGACGCCTGTTACGGGATATCTGTGGTAATATTTGCAATGTCACCAGGAGCGGAACAATGGTCGTGGCCGTTCGAAAGACTGTGCTAAAAGTGAATATGCGTACCACAGGTTTGAATTAGATATGCAAACACTTGTGAGTTGCAAGTTTAAACAAACAAAGATTTTGTTTCCGATATCCAATTTGCATGGAGAAAGAGGAACTCAAGTTGGAGGGGTAAAGAGGTCGTCCTTTACATAGTGATAACAAAGAAAACAGAGTAACTTCTGATTTTCACGATTTTTATTGTGTTCTTGTACGAAATTATATTGATTAAATCGTGGATAGTGCTTTATTTGTTACATTGGTATGCCACATTAAGTGACCGCAGATGAGCCCAATAGCAAAAAGATTATGGTAAGATTGAATGGTGGCATAGCACACACAAAGACAGAACAAAAAGCGTCTTGCGGTTCCTTCGCTGTCAGTCCCGGCAGTTTAAAAACAAGTATTCGGCAGCTGAATGTGCAGGGAGTCACCCAAAGGAAGGTGGTTCATATAGAACTTCCCATGTGTCCTTTGAAAACCCACGACAGGTTTTGCCCTTCTTAGCGCTCATCAGGTAGGTGCAGTCTCCGAGTTCCCGTCCACCTCGGGGACTGCATCTACCTGATGAAACCCACGAAAGGTGGAACCGGTCGCGAAGTGTCGAAGGATTTTCAGCAACCTTATATGTGTTGCATTAGGTACATATATGTATCACGATATCTCGAATGTTGTAACAACTGAAACATGAGGCTGCCTGGTGCAGCACATTCAGTTGCCTGGAAACATCATAAACGAGATTCAGCTGAGTTCCATGTGAGTGCTTCGCAAAACCAAATTTGTTCACAAATGAGTGTAATTCCCTACANATTTGTTCGCAAATGAGTGTAATTCCCTACACGTGTCCTCATTTTTATGACCAGAACCCAACAAAAATAGAGCAGTAGTTTGGCACTTCGATACGATAACAGTCAAAAAGATTACGATGATCTAACCATTCCTTGAGAGCTTACAAGATGGATTTACCGTATGGTCTGCTTACCAAGCAGCATTACCGAAACTCCTATATTAGGTAAATTTTTCTGTACTTTTCTGCTCGCTTGCAAGAAACGATTTTCATTGTGATGACTCATTTTTGACTTGCCCATTTCACAGCAAAATAGCTCTTTCTACTAAATTTTTCACGCAAAATAATGAGATGCACTCCTTGGTTGAACTACTATTCTGTTCACAAGCATGCCATCTAATATTTTTCGGATATAATGATGATTATGCTATGACCATCGTCTTCCTTGACACTTCGATTTTGCCGGTCTTTCTGATGGTAGAGCTGAAAAATTTAGAAGCGTTCAGTGCGAACTTTGGAGCTGTCATTTGTGATTTATGCAAGGACCTCCAACGTTTGGTTTAGTCTCTGTCGTAAAATGGTGTTTGCTTTATAAAACTGTGAAAAATACACAGCCATGTACAACCTGCATATTTCTTGGCCTAAAAATAATATTTTGAGGTGTTACACAGCTACAAAGAATCGAAGAGTAAATGAAGTGTTATCGACGAAAGTTAGCTTTAAAAAACCTTTCAGGTGATCGTATTTTGGCATAAATTTGTTGATAGGTATATGTGAATGTGTACGTGAAGAGGTGTAAATTCTTTCCTGGAGATCCCAGAGATTTTTTTACTTAAATTATACACATCATCAGTAGCTTGCTGAGCAATATGGATGATTGGCTTCGGGCAAAGCGATCTAATTTCCACACGGACGTAACTCATCCAGTGGAAACGGCAAAATGTTGATCAACTAACCTGAAAATCAACCAACCGTTTAAAGATGCACAAAGGGGATGATGTTTAGAAACCGTGTCAGTTTGATCTGAATTTGATGTCTTCATCAGTCAACTTTCTCTGCCCTTCTTTTCAGGTGCCTTCAAGCTCAGCACCTAATGTGGCTGTTCTCAGGGAGAGAATAAAACTATCGTGTTGCGAAACATTTGCCCTTCGGTTCTGCTTTACCGTCTGAGCATCCTATCTGTAACATTTTGGGAACACCACTTCTTAAGTTTCCAATGAACTAAATGATCGTTTTCAAATGTGTAACACAAGTCTTCGCCTTCTTGTGGCTTATCAGGATAAAAAGTTCCCTAAAAGTAATAAAAAGAGATTCATCTGTACATCAAACTTGAGGTTGCTGGTGGATTTTGCTCACAAAGGAAAACTTCAGGGGTGTGTTTGATGAAATTACTATCCGACTTCTTCACGCTGCCTCTTAATTGAGTTTTTAAAACTAAGGATTTACATCAAGTGATACTGAAGTTGTCTCCAAAGGAAGCAGACTCACCAGGTCCCTCAAACAACCATTCATCCCCCGCGGATCTTTGTCGACCTTCTGAATCCTCGTGATCACAGATTGCTTTTAGACGAAGAGCACGATTTGCCAAAACAACAGGAAGTGCCTGGATTGTTCCGCAAATGGTTTCACCCGGGTACAATGGAAACGGGTCTTGATGGTATCGATATTCCATAGCACCCATCTGTAGTTTTACTTGCCCATCCGATTCAAAAACTGCGTGCCCATTCTCTTTCACTACAGGATTCTCAACGACGCAGTATTCCATCGGTGATATGCTGACCATCCGACTTACAGAACATTCAAATCTGAATTGGAGGCATTCAGTAGGATAGGGAATTCGAGGCTAAGAGATTTACTTACCTCTCGTTTTCTTTACACACATAGGTCTTCGGGCCCATGACCAAGGTGGATATGTTTGTGTTTAAATCAAGAACATGAACATAATGATACGGTGGTACTGATGTGATATGATTGCTGGTTTCTAGAGGTGGCATTTCCAAAAGTTTGCTCAAAAGAAGTGTGTAGATCGCTGTAGTGTAGCAAACAGTGAATCGTAATGATCAATGAAGCAACCTAAATGGGCCTGACGCGGAAAGCGTCGCAGCGGACCATATGTTAGTCTCTCTCCAGTCGCTGTTGATTGGTCTCTGACATGGTAACCTGATTGGTCCGTTGGTCATGTTGTTCGCGTGCACCAACCAGTGAGTCTTGAATTACCTACACAAAACAGGAGACCTTAGGCACTCTGCATGTCAGAACTAACATAAACGGATAGTCAGCAAACGAATGAGAGAACTGAATTCGGGCTTTGGATGCGCAAACATCATTCTGGGGAGGTGAAATCTGAATGACGTTGTACATCCTACTACCACTGAACTCAACTCTGAAATAGATGGCGACGAGTTCATTTGTTACGTTTTGTATCATATGATCGGCTAAAGGTTGGAAGCCTGAAAAAACTTTAACTTGGAGTTAGCATTCTGGATGGATGTAGAGCCACCTCCCGATAGTGGAAGTTGTCTGGCAATTGGGAGCCGGCGAATATAATCACGTGTATCAATTTCAGCTAGATATATTCAAAAAGTAAAGCAAAATATAGGAAAATAGTTTCAGAATTTATATTTTTGGAAATTCTGTGTTCTTCGCGAAAGTAACTTCAAAGGGATAAAAACCTTGCGAGTAAAGAACTAGCTCTCTTTTAGATGTTTTGTCCGCAAATCCTCGGAATCGGAATAGTCTGTAGAAATACTGTTGATGTAGGGAAGTGCAAAAAAAGAAAAAGTTGAAGGGAAATTAGAATGAGGCTAGAAGACGGGGCTAGGAGCGGGCTTTCGATGGTAAACGAACACCTAAAATGCTTTCATGAAGGACGAGAGAAGCTTCGTTTCAAAAACCTTAATAGAGCATACAATCAAGTCAGTTGGAAACATTAATAGAGCATACAATCAAGTCAGCTTGGAAACATCATAAACGAGAGATTCAGCTGAGTCTCTCGCAAAATCAAATTTGTCTGCAAAAGAGTGTACTTCATCAACTTGAACCTGTCTAATTTTTCCGAATGATCGACCTTTGGCCTAATTTTTATTGTGAATAATGAATCAAAGTCTGACCTCTGATGATGGCAAAGCACAGTAGATTTGGTTAACTTGAACGTAGAGAAAAGGTGAAGGCCTGGCAAAAATTCAAGTTCACCTACGTAATTGTCAGGCAGAAACCACATTAAATTATTAGATGACAAGTTCTTAATCAATTTTGAGATGGTTACAGGTGATGCAACTCAAATGACGGTGACAAATTACACCTAAACGAGTAGCTAGCAGATAACAGTTCTCTTCAATACTAATGTCCTGCCCATATGGACGAAACATATGCCATCATTGACAGGGTCGAATTTCAGACAGTTTGTCTCTGCAGAAGTTCAACAGGCATCATCAGGATAACCTGAGAAGTGATGTGAAAAATCAATATTTCATGACCGACATAATAGGGAAACAATGCGCATGGTAGGATATGGGCATCCAAAATCACAAATAAGCAATACCGAGAATATAGATACGTGGAATTCTCTGTGTGAATATCTTGTGAGATACTATTTGACTCTTTGTCCTTTACCGGAATGGACAACGAGAAACACAAGAAAACGAACCTGTCTAAATTTGTAGCGCAATTTTGCGCACTGCGAACCGAAATAAAACCGGAATAATGAGATTTCGTCCCAAATTTGTCTGAATGTACTCCGATGAATCACTTCTTGTCATTCGAAAGTATTTACCAATACAATAATTTTATTGAAGTTATTGGATTTTGTTTGAACAAACTCTTCATACGACTGGAGGCGAAGCTTTTTTGGTCAAGTGTGCTGTTTTTAATTGAGATGACAAAAGCAGTACCCATGTGGGTAAAAGAAGAAAGCTTGTGTCAGTATTATAGTTCGCAACTTTCTATTCTGACCTGTAGGAAACAGATAAACTCATCAACCTTGTGATGCAGGGATACTGATAACAAGCTGTGAAGTCGTGTACAGGGCATCGATGTCAACCCATATTGGAACAAGCTGTATTGCACAATAAACCTTTTGGAAAGCAATTGTGAACTGAATAAAAGAAACGGCGATGTTTGAAAAATGGGTAACGAGAATACACATCGTGATGCAGCCTAGTGACCCATCATGACACTAGTAGACCAGGTGTACTCACACAAGCGCAGCGAGATTTCGTAAATGTAATCAGTGGCCGTGCTCCACCATACAATTCCAATGGGTTACTAAAGTATCCTGTTTCGTTTTAGCTTACATACGTGAAAGGATGAGACTGAAAGAGAACATGTTATCTGTCCCCGTGGATGAAAGAACGTACCCACTTCGGATAGAGTCTGCTGCAATAGATTTTCCATAGTAAGTCATGGTTAGGCACAGTAAAGACGTTTGAGTGCGACATCGAACGACAAACAAACTGATGTGACATGCTTCGTCATGCCAGTACACCAAGAAGGAGCTGAGTGCTGGTGCTGCAAACATAGTATAACTATAAATTATCCATTTCACCACAGTTGATATTCTTGCCCCACAAACGTGGGGTTACAGTCTGTGGCTCTGTATTTGTGATCTTAACTTCATTAAGGATGTCTTGGATCTAATCTTTCTGAGAGCCGCGTTTGTCATCACGTTGAACAAATTAGTCGAAAAAGAAAACGTCCTAATAAATGACAGCAGCTCCAAATGGCTGTAGTGCACGATACCCCGAGATAACAATTGGGCGATTACTTGCTTAACTGCTTGAGTTACTGACTAGCTGCATAACTGTTTAATTAATATGTCTCTTCTAAGAAAGAAATACCACTGTGTTCGTCTTCCAGAAATCACATTTACTGTGGACTAGAGAGGACTTTTGTAATATTTCACATATCCACGTAATACTCTGGTCACCCGTATTGAGAAAGTGGATTTAAAACCACAATTTGCAATTTTGATTTGTCTACATTCTAAAATTGTAAGGCTCTTGTTAAAAGGGATTCAGATTTTTCTCATGAGGTAAAGATCTTCGAATTAGTTTGACAAGCTGGAAAACATGATTCAGGGTTGAAAAAAATGTTTCCGGTATACACAATCACAAGTTTTTGAGCCATAATTTTGTAACTACCTAACAGTACCTATATTGAGATGAAACCTGGAATTCATGAAGAGGTTTCCGATCAGGCAAAAAGAGCAAATCAACTAAGTGACTGAGGTATATTGATAGTGCACGAAAAATATGTAAATCGGCCTGTCTTAACGTTTTGTGAGCGGTTTATTCAGTAGCCATTCCCGGATTATACCATATATGAAGTAAGTGATTTGCCATTACATCCACAGGTGAATGCTGGTCTGGTCCCAACTCAAATCAACCAGAGTATTTGATAGACCCTATGTGACCCTTCGAAATAAAAGATCTCAAGTTCGATTATTCCTGAATGGCTGCTGAAATGGATTAGAAAGACAGAATTGAGATTCAACTTTTTGAGCTGGCGATATCGACAGTTTTATACTGAACCTAAAGAGTCGATGCATCTGTGAATGGGTTGATTTCCTTGGATTTTGACTTTTGATTGAACGCAATATTATGGATCCTGGTTCAACCAAATGTTATTTGTACTGTAGCGGGAAGACCACGGATTTTCTCGTTGGCACTGTGGTGAAAGACGTTTGGTTCCTGTTCATAATACGGGCTTCCCCGGCTATCACGCATTTGCATCATAAGTCTGAAGTTTGTAGCACGGATGTTTGGTAAAGAAAAGTTAATTCTAGGATGTTTATTTTAGTTACATATTGCAAAAATGTCCCTCTCATCTTCAAAACAGGTAGTTACTATGGTCACACTCCGGGCAGTTCAAATTACAATTCACTTTTCTCTACCAGCCTTGTCCAGTGTTTTTCAACTCAGAATTTAGGCCCCTGTGTGTGTTCAACTTAGCTATGAAATTAGCCAGTTCTGGACCAGGAAGGTGACAAAACACGAGCTTTTGTATTCCCGTTTGTATGATTTTAGTGTGGATGTTTCGATAGACAACGTTGTGCACTTTCCCCGAAGAGACGCTCGACACATTACCAAAGAATGGCGTCTTGCCTCAGTACTTCATCCAGCCGGTCGGTCATTTGGAGCGACAGTGTTGGATATATTCCTTTCGGGCGAGAAGACTCTTATGCTGCTTAATAAAGCCATGCAGTTGAAATTCGACTGACAGCATTCCGGCTATTTTGAGACCAGTGTCCATTAGTGTGAACACGGTGCCCGATCTCTGGGTGAGCGACCAACTCGATACTTCGATACAAGTATCCGGGAAGAAGGTTAAAACACTAAAAATTCAAAGTTATTGTTGTTTCGCATAAACGTTTCGGATTTGTCTATCCAAGAGAAGCTTTATACACTACCCTGCCTGATAAAAACATCTCCCCATCATAGACTCCTTGGAGCGAAAGACCAACATTTCTGATGGTAAGTTGCTTAAAATGTAAGCGATCATAAAATAAGCCTAAAATAAATGTAATTCAATTCAGCGTGTCACTTTCAACGATACTGGGATATATTAGTTGAAGTGACGCAAAGTGGTCTACTCAAATAAGCATCTTCTTTAGAGTGATATTTCTCGGGTGGATTCTTGAATGCAAAACCGGTTTCGACGTTCCAATCCAATGCTAGGTCTCTCCGAAATAATACAATGTCAATGCTTTCCGGCTTTTCAGCCTACAGGGTTTATTGATAGCAAAAATGTGATTCAGACTCCATTTCTTCCCATTGCTCAATAGGTTTGAGCCAGCTGCCACAAAAGTCTACATCGCATCTTTCTTCTTGTGCGGGACGGCCTCTACAGGAATTCATCAGTCAGTTAATTTTTGGGTAAACTCATTAGAATCTCATTGGTCCACACACATCAGTAGGCATTAAATTTCATCTAATACGGGCCACATAAGCGATGAACGTTTGCGACAGAGGCCATCGGGCTTGTTGATAAATAATCG